TCGCTTAACAAAATGATAGTTGGTAGGCCATCGGTGTTTGCCTGTGGAGTTCTGCGTTAATTCTTCAAGGATAACATTTTATCCACACTGAACTTAACTCAAACTTCAGCACACACATGTGCATACATACATACATACATACATATATGGTACATATATGAACGTATATACTCCAATTAGTTCATGTATTTTAGGCATAATCACTTTCCCACTTACAGATTTTTATTTACTCACATACATACATGATATTACAAAACTTTGGTTAGGCATGTATGTACTTATATAGGCGTATGTATGTATTTGCAAGTATGTAGCAAACCGAAAAGGGGCTGCCTTACATACATGGGAGTCTCAAATTAGAAAACTAGTGTACTACAACAAGTGGGCTGATAATGATTGAATGGTAAACAATCTGTCATTATTGTTGTATTACGCGCAGGTCAGATACATAAAGTTTTAATATAATATATGTACTAAGACAAAAGCTGTACAATTGAAACCAAATATAATTTAATGTGAGGTTATGTCTCGTATTATGGCATGTACGCACTTCTAAGTGTCAATACATACATGGAACATCAATATCTATTACGCTCAAGCAAATCGCTTTACCACTCATTAGGTTACTTTTATCCATGTATGTAAATTCCATGTATGTTGTACTATAATCATGTATGTAGCCTCCCGGCATACACCATATGTGTACATACATATGCATAAAAATATATATTTACATACATACATATATGTATATGCCCAACCAAAGTTAGCACATCATAATTACAGGTTTTTTATTACTGCAATCTATAGTTCGTCGATTGTTCTTTACTGTTCGTCCGTTTTTAACGCTTGCTCGTTAGCCCCACATTAATAATTCATTTTGAATATTTGCTTTCCCCTAAGCCTGTATCTAACCCCTCCTACAGTTCGTTGCAAGGCGAATTAATATAAGGTGATAGCAGGAGTACAAAAACAAAAATTTACATGTATTTTGTTTTTGCTTTGGCGGCATAAACTGTCAAAATCTGTAAGCCAACTTGGCTCAAACCGTGCCATTTTTGGCCCTATTTTACATCAAATGGCACTTAATTTTTCAATTTGGCAAAAATAGTAATATTTCAACACATTTTTGTGAAATAATTTGCGTGTACTTTTTTTCAACTAAGATTTTGTAGTTTCTAAAGACATAAATAAATAAATATTTTTAATATTTTTATTGAGCTTTGTACCACGATTGTTTATTAGGAAAAATTGGAAAAGCAACAAAGTCTAAGCGGTAGAAGTTATAGCAGCTATTTCGGAGATCACCACATCTCCTCATCAGACTTTTTTTTCTGGACTTCAGCTGGGATCGAACCTGCGTAATCGATGTTCAAATTCTGCTGCTTTAAGACGGAAATGATTAACGTCTTTTTATAATAATTATATGGCGAATTTTATTTTTCTTGTATCTCGTTTATTTCAAGACGACAAAGATTTACGTATGACAATAATTCACTTCACTGTACACAGTACGACAGTAATTTTGCCACTTGAGTCACTTCGCGTTATGTTTTCTTTCAAGATTATTTGAGGACACTTTGAAGATTATTTACTTTTCGTTGGTAATTTTCCTCTTTACATAGCTTTAGTTTTTCACTTGATAATTAAAAATTCGATTCTCTATCCCTTTTTACGTATCTGCGCGTCGGTTAGAGATGAGTTGGAGAATGATGTTGGATATTAACTTAAGAACTATGAATTTCTCCAAGGTTGGAGAAATATTTTTTTGGTGTTTATTGGGAAGGATTATTTTAGATACAGTGTCAATAAAAAGTGTAGTATTTTTTTTTTTATTTTTTAACGTTTCTTTTTATATAAATTTATTTAATTTATAATAAAAATATAGCTCACACTACAACACGTAGTTTCTATTAATTAAAAAAACTCGCGAAATTTTCATCAAAATGTCACTCTTTATTCAGAATTTTTCCATATCACGAATGATCACATGTTATTTCATATAAACGAGAGTGCGCAACATCAAAAAAAAAAAATAATAATAATATATGTAGTAAAAAAAAATATTTTTAAAACAAGCTTTCTTAATATGAACGAAATCGGACTATAAATAATGGTTTACCAAATAACTCGACTCCTGCGCCACCTATCGGCAAATTTTTTATGGTGTTTTTCCTTTTCATCTAATTAATATACGTTCTAAATATGAACTAAGTCGGATTACAAATACGAGTTTTAAAATATCTTGACTCCTGCGACGTCTATCGGATTAATTCATCTTTCGTATTGCATTGCCCTCGGGTTCCGAGCTAACTGTGATATTTTAAGTTTCTTTGTCATCCGGAAGTCGGTTAAATTTTGCGAAATTAAAGGCAATAAAATAATGTACTAAACGTATTGTATAATTTGAATGCTATTGATTGAAACTAATACTTCCTTGAAAACATTAAACAAATAAACATATACATACATACATATGTGTGTACATCCATCAAGATCACAAAAAGTGCTTTCCTAAATATGTATAAGAGTTAATTTTTGTAACGCTCTACTACCCCCTAACTTAGGGGATTCACAAGATGTCTTAAGCGTCGTAGTCTTATGGTCTAATTATGCATACTTCGCATAACTTCGCACAACTTCGCATAAACTTCAAATATAATTTCGTATGTACTTTGTATGTATGATCTAGTTTAGCCTAGTCAAAACTAGTTTGTCCTAAGATCGGGGTATATACCGTATGCCAGAAACATAAATGTGCAAAAATTTAATTTTTGGAAAGCCAAGTATGAAAGTTTTTTTTTTTAATGAGACAACTCCATGATTCAATAATAAAATGTTTGCACAGAATCACGACTTAATTCTGCAAATGAAATTGCAAAAAATTTGGTTTCCATATACACATGTTATTCTGGGTTTTGGTATAACATAGAACATCTAAAGGTTAATCAAGTCAACCGAATAACTCAAAACTGATAAATTTGTACTTTCATACGTCTGGCAATAGGGTGACGATATATCTGGGTCGTTTCGTTTACGTAGACGCGACTGTCGTGGGAACGGTTTTAAAGTCGTAAAATGTTCCAATGTAAAATAACGGTTAAACGTTTTTAAGGGGACTTGTGACTTGCACTAGCGTCTTTTAATAGAGGATTTATAATTAGCTCTGCTATGCCCTTTGAAATACCTAAAACCATTTAACAGTTAATTTACATTGAATAATTTTATGATTTTCAGACATTACGACGATTAAGACCTGTGAATCGCCTAAACTGTAAAATAATAACAATCACCGACTTACAATAAGCAAGAAGCACTTGTAGTAAAAACCTTCGGCTCTCTAAAAACGAATTAATAATTTTTACTTTAATTAGTAGTCTTTAAGCAGCAATCAGTTTCAAATGAAGTTCTTTCGATTTTTAGTTAACTTAAATTTGCGACTGTTTAAATATTTCTTGTCTCAACCTGTTTTAGTAGCTGACTAGAAGATGATTGTGTGACCGATTCGCAGCCGAATGAAGACTTTCAAATCGTTACAGGACAAGGACGAAAATATTTTTTCTGCTTTCCAAACGCCAGCTTGTCTCTCTTGTTTTGGTAGTTCAAAAAGGTCGGAAATAACATGATTCAATAATGAAAGGTTTTGTAAGAAAAACTTTCTCTCGCTCTAATTTTATCAATGACACTCCCACCCTACTCCTAAAAACAAAAACAGTGATATTTCTTTTCCAAATTTCTTTGCAAGTTTTAAGAACATTTTTAAATTGTTAGTAGTGAAATTTTTACTTTTTAAATTTGAAGAAATGTTTGTTCTGCATTCGCTGGCGCCAACAAGACAAAATGGGTGAGAATCGTTGGACTACAGAAATTCAATGTTAAGAGACGAAATTCCCTTAAATGCCGAAATGTATTTGTCGATATTCGTGGAGACCTCTTGATTCTGCCAAGTCGCTGTAAAGTAAAGCGTTCAATGAGCCAACGAAGGTATTTAGGTATTGTACTCCACGACACAATCCTGGTGTCTCCCAATGAGATTTTGACGCAATATAACATTGCCAAACCGCATCCATAGGCCCAATCGTCACACGACAGCTCGGTTTAGTCAATGGCGCGATGTAATTGCACACTTAAAAGGTGTACGCACGAGGCGAATGTTGGCTGGCGACCAACTTTATTGCAAGCGATTAGCTGGAAGTAGAATGCAAAGTTGAACAATACAAACGCCTTTTTATGGCGAATATTTTAATATTTTTTTATATTTTGATATTTTTAGTCATTCAAATTTTTTTTCGTGCAACCCGTCGGGAGTTGAACGCAAAAGTTGCCTGAAAAATCGCCTCGTGCGAAAGCCCCATTACGCCACTTCTCATTTGACGATGTAGATCACGTTCCCTATCTCAGTCGTTCAGTAGCTGCGTGCTCTGAGTTCGTCCGGCACCAATCGCCAACTGCGGCTGTGCAAGCCAGTGTTGAATATTTTCCCCAGAACATAAAAAGTGCGACATCAAAGAATTCGAAACAATCGAGCCATAACCGCGAAAGAAACGTAAGCTCCAAATTTTTTTATTTGCCGTTTTTTTGTTTAATAAATATTGCATATTTTCCGCAAACAAATAGCTTCTTCATGTCCATCAACTGGCAAACAAATACAACAAAAAAAAAGCTGAAAGTGGACCATGCATTCTCGAGTTATGCGCCATCTGACGTACGCAAGTTTGGTATATACATAGAAATATTTATTTTCAATAACAATCGGAGGTTATATTCGATGTAAATAAGCTTGTTTAAATTAAATAATTAAATCAAATTCGTTTTTGTTTTAAAATACCACCATTCACTATTATCCACACCTTTTTATGGAATTTAGCTCCCATTTTAGGAAGTGTGATTGAATTCTTCCCCTTTTTCCCCTGCTTCCATAAACCATCCCTGTGGGTGGGAGTGCCAAATTTTAGAAAAAAGCTACTTACAAAACCTTTAATAATTGAATCATGGGAAATAATAAATTTTTAATTTTTCTTTCAAATGAAATTCTTTTGATTTAGCATATGCTGTCACGACATCTTACACCTTCACAACAGTAGCTCATAGCAAGTATGTAGTCTCTGTGACTGCCTATGTAGGTCTCCATTTGTTGATGAAGGAATTTATAATTGGAGCCACTTTTTCGGGTTCATTTAAATGAACATGATGAGTTCCTGTAACCTCGTGGTACTCAAAAGCAGGGTTTTTCTGCATGATATCCAAGGTCTCATCAAAATACTTTCGAGGCTCGTAATACGTAGAATTTAACGCTTTGATGAACAGGTAAGGAGAGGTTATTCTCCGGGCCATATCTATAGGTACATCATTACTAAAACCATAGAAAAACGCCTTTTTCAATCGATTATCTCTTGAAAAGTAATACTTTTTTGGCTCATGCTCAGAAGGTTGCACTGCGCGATTCAATAAATATTTGCACTTTTCCCTACACACAGATTTGTTTGTGCCATGGTGTAAACGGTCCACCAATTCATGCCACTTATAACAAGGCGGATACGAATCGCTTGCGCGGTTTTCGTAAACCATTAAATCTTGCAAGTTTTTTTTGTACGTATCCACAATTTGGGCACCGCTTCGCGTTATTGTTTTAAGATTATCCAAACCAACCATGATGTCAGTTTTTTCCGGAAACAATGCGCTAAAAACGAATCCATTTATCGAACTCATAGAATGGCATATCATGGATATTTTTTCCCATCCATAAAAATTCATAACTCGCAACAGTAAGGTTACGTAATCAATAGAGTGGTAAGACATGCCGAAAGGAAGCCATGAAGAACGACCATGGCCGGGTAAATCCAAACACAGAAAACCAATATGCTGAGGTAACAGCGGCGCTAATGTATCGAAAGTACCCGCATTATCCAGCCAACCGTGTAAACCAATTATTGGCCGAACATTTGTAGGTCCATACCATTTTCCAGAAAGATGACCCCACGGTACTGGAATTGCAATTTCTTCAAACTTTAATAATATTAAAGTATAATTTTAAATCGCTTTGCCGATAACTACTTACATGCCTTGGGGGATTTCCCTCTTTTAAAGTGGAGTGTGACGATGAACTTTGCCTTTTTGCCAACAGCGCTGGTATAAAATAGGATTTACTACCAAATAGAGTACTAAACGTACGCGCTTTCTTAAGCATAATCAATGTATTAACTTTATTTAACATTCTGTCCTACTTGTTTATTTACAATTTATAATTACATATATGATCCCTGCGAAATCCAAATTCTCAAAGTACCATCATGGATATTATTATCGATATTATCCATAGATAATAAGATAAGCTCGTTTCATGACTTGGCAGCACAGAAAGATCAGCGAGGAACAGTTGCGACCAGCGTGCGATTCCCATTAGAACTGGGAAAAACATCGTGGCACTATCGATGCATCGATGTTTTTGCATTTTTTCTAAACATCGATGGTTCTGTTCTTCAGGTATACGAGGACTTATAGTTTGTGGCTCAAAAATTCTACCAGAAGGTGACATATATGCGTTCATGGTTACTATGCCCAACAGCTGAACGTTTGGAATAAACTTTTTTATTTACTTAGGCTATCTGCACACTTTTCGTCAAATCATGGTTGCGTTATCGTCTCGCCTTGAAATTTTGAGCATAGCACATGCATTTCAAAGGAGATCTGTATACTTGTAGTTATCGGCTAGTTTTCGGCAAATCGTAGAAGATGCTGGAGGGATAAGTACGACACTGTTGTTTGCTAATCGTTGCACGCATTGGTTGTTTACATTTTATGGGAAAAAATAAATTAAAAAGTTTATATTTGCGTTAAAATTGCATAAAAATTAGTCTTTTTTCATAAAATTTGTGGAAATTTTTAAAAAGTTGATTATTGCAATTCAACAAATGTGTGAGTTTCAACTATAAAATATGACGATATTTTAGAACATCTCTGCGTGCGTGCACAAAACACATTTCAGGAAAAGAAAAGAGATATTACTAAAAAATTATGTCTAGAATTATTGCAGCACAGCCTATATTTTGAAATTGCAGATTTTTGTAAAAATTTCGGGAAAATATCAACCAGAAAAACAAAAAATATGTGCTCCAAGTGAATTTTAAACGCCAAATGAATTGGAATATCACGACCGAGTGTGTGAAAGTGTAGTCGTCATGTAATCGTTGCATCATGACGATGATGCATCTATGATTGGACGACCAATGAGCTGAAACCCTTATTCTTTAGAACGTTCCTGATGATATGTTAACGTTTATTTCAAACGCATTCCGTTTATTCATATGTTAGTGTTTGGCCGAGCTTGTCCTCCGATTTGTGGCGTGCGCCTTGATGTTGTCACACAAAAGTGATGTTGTCACACACAAGGGAGGGACCTACAGATTTACACCGACTCCGAACGGCGATTGTATTTTTATGAGAAGCTGTTTTTCATGGCAGAAATGCACTCGGAGGTTTGCCTTTACCTGCCGAGGGAAGACCGCTGTTTAGGAAACGCGGGGTAATATTTGACGTTTTCTCAATTCCTCTCGTTTTTAGTCTCGTTCTCGGATTGACTCGGGGGTTTTACCCGACCAAAGACTGATGTTTCGGTGATCGAACCCGGTTTTGTACGGCGAAATCCCTCAAAAGTTGTACGTCCATAGAGCTACATCTGCTTTGCATACTTCTGCTCACGGCTAACATCGTGTCAAAAACTGGGCCAGAAATGTACACCTGCTGCGTGTGCCAGAGACAACAACACCATAACTTCACCTCCGTCAGGTGCAACGCCTGTAATGGGCGGAGTCACCTTCGAGTTTTGTCAGGCCATACGTCTCACAGGCCGTGGACCACCTCATACGTGGCCCCTTGCTGCTCAAACTACTAAACACAAACACATCCACATCACAATACAATACAACAGACAACACCATAGACACAACAGGCTACACCAAATATACAACCGCACCACTTCCCACACCCCGCCGCCAACAACTCCTGGTTCCCCCGACAATCTGCTCGGTGTCAGTCCAGGATATTCCATGACGTGACATCAGTCAAGTGCAACACTTACCTTGCTGGTGTCACTTTAGAGCATGTTGAAGACTGCGCGCAACGCGAGATTCAACGGGGGACTACGGGGGGTCCGTGTTGTGCTGCTCGGTCGCAAGTGCCAACTGCGACGTCGCCCACCACCACCACAGGGGTTGCAGAAGCAAGCACATAAAGTGGCGGGCAGGCAACATACTTCACCGACACCCAACATTCCTATAAGTCTCCCTAGGCACACGAAGATTTTAAAATTTAACTGTAACGAACTTCTGAGCAACATCGAGGAGTCTTCATGAGTCGGCATAGAATATTACTGGCTGCGATCCAAAAGAGAAATTGAATGGTAATTCAACACTGTTGAATTGCGCCGGATACAACGTGCACTGTCGAGATCGCGAGCGAGATGATGGTGGTGGCCTAGCGCTCATCACCCACCACACCGTGCGGTATCGTCTTATCGAAGCAGACATCGACCGCAGGGATACCATCCTAGAATGTGAGGGTATTGCTATCCGGTCAGGTGATGTCGGGCGTGAAATATTTAACGTGTATATACCCCCTTTCACCAGCTGCCCGGCAGGATATCGCCCGGAAATAGATGCGCTCCTCAGAGGTGAATGGTAGTTGGTGACTTTAACGCGCACCACGATCTTTGGCATTCAAGCCTGTCAAATGATCGTAGGGGAACGTACATGGCTGAGCAGATAGACGATTCGACATTCTGCACAATAAACGACGACGCACCCACCAGGAGTATGGGCAGCTGCTGCAGCTCGCCGGTCCTAACAATTGTCAGCGCTGGTCTGATTAACAGCATATCATGGCGACCTATGCTTAGCATCAGACCATGTGCCCAAAGTCATCTCGATTGATAAACCAGGCTTCGCGGAGTGGGAAGAGCATCTGAAATCCTGCAACTTCGTCTTTGGTGTGATTAAGCTTTGGTCAACCGTGAGGTCATTGTCCAACCCGACGAAGTGTGATAACATAGTTAAAATATCTTTTGGCGACCAGGCTTCGTCGGACTCGGAGCGATGCGCGAGCTATTTTAGCTGGCAGTTCATACTGCATCCTCCGGCGGACAAAGCCAAAGGTCGAGTGACCAGAAGGCTGCACAAACTGTCAAAACCAAGTGCGCCTCTTATTTTCAGCAGCGGCGAGGTAAGGGTAGCCATCGGGAAGGTGAAAGCCTCCAAAGCCATTGGACCCGATGGAATTTGTATGTTGACGCTGAAAAATTTGGGTCCTGCGGGAGTGGAAAATTTAACCAAGGTCCTCAACCTGTCTATGGCCACTCTCATCATTCCAGACATCCGAAAAATAGGGAGAGTGGTCCCACCACTGCTTAAACCGGGGAAACCATTCAACAAAGCATAGTCTTATCGCCCGATAACTCTCTTTTCCTAAGTAACGTAGACACTAGAGGCCTTTCTACTCCCGTACTACAAAAACCGCCTGACCCCAGCGAAGTATCAGCGTAGGTTCCGTAAAGTGCACAGCACAACAACGGCACTTAATGCCATAAACACCCAGATAACTCGTGGCCTTAAGCGAAGCCGCCCCTATGAGAGAACTATTCTAGTAGCGTTGGACCTGTGTAAGGCGTTCGACACCGTCATCCACTCAACGCTACTAAAAGATATAGCGGCGTCCTCTCTCCCACAGGGTCTCAAACGGTGGTCGACGAATTATCTGAGTGATCGTCAGTAATCTTTAGAGACAAACAAGCAAACAGAGAAAAATTAAATAGAGGGTACCACAGGGTGCGGTCCTATCCTCACTATTGTTTAATTATCATATTTCAAAGCTCCCTCAACCACCAGAGGGAGTCACTATTGTCTCTTATGCCGACGATTTCTCGATTATGACATCTGGGAATGGAATTGATGATTTGTGCTCAAGAATAAACGAGGTCAGACTGCAACTGGGTATTTACGTCAATGAATAACAAATTCCGACGGTGAATAACCCGAAGATCCTCGGAGTAATCATCGACAGTCTGCTCTCCTTCTCTGCGCACGCAACCGCTATTGTCCACAAAGTACAAAGCCGCAACAAGGTCCTCAAGTCGCTAGCCGGCAGCACCTGGGGCAAAGACAAAGAAACGATTTTGGCAACGTACAAGGCAATTGGCCGGCCGGTTCTAAACTATGCAGCGTCTGTGTGGTCCCTGGGGACTAGTAGGATGCAGTGGATGAAGCTGAAGACCTGCCAAAATTCGGTACTTAGGACACCGACAGGATGCCTTCTGATGTCATCGCAACATCACCTGCACGACGAGCCCCACAAGCTCACGATTAAGGAGCATAACACAATGTTCTGCAAGCAATTTCTAGTAGAGTGTCACCGTCGGGGGCACCCGAACAGACATTTGCTTGCGCAAAACCCCTCGCTACGGCACGTCATATAACTTCTGGACACGTCAGCTTACCGACAGATCTTGAACGGCCATCACAGAGAGCCAGTGTAAAGTTATATAGACTCTCGACCTGTGAATGCCGTTCTGGGTACACAACCACCAGACGTTGACGAGACAGAGCTTCGTCTGCCTCGGGAGACTCTGACCACAAAAGCCCAACTTCTCCCTGAGCAGCATAAACGCAGATGTACCAAACGAATTCCCGACATGCGGAGAGACGCTCCATTACTCGCAACATGTCTTTGCGAGCCCACCGAACCCCACCCTGCTAACGCCTCTGTCGTTATGGATAGACCCTGTCGAGGCTGCACGCTTCCTGGGGCTACCGCTAGTAGATCTTGATGACAACGATTGAGGGACTAACCGATCTGGGTGGAGTTGTTGTAGCCGTTACAACAGCAACAAAAATGCCAGATCAGCACATTTTTAATGTATTTTCGTTGAGATAGGGTATTTTTGAACCGAATTCTGAGTTAGGGCGTTTCTCAACCAAATTCTGAGATAGGGTGTTTTTGAATAAAATTCTGAAATAGGGCATTCTTTCAAAGTTTTTTGAGGCAGGGCGTTTTCGAACTGGCTGTCGTGATAGGTTGATCTTCCACTCAGCCATCGATATGTATGTACATCTGAAATTTTCATTTCGTGGTGGCAGTAGGCATGACAACCACAATGAGCGTGCAACCCTGTGCCAAATTCGACATAACCACCTCCGAGAAAAGTAAGCAGTCGCCAATTAATTTGCCAAACAAAAATTCGCATAACATCGACCTTATAATGGGCTGTTTTTGCTTACGCGTTAAAGCACATTTAGCGCATTTAGCTCTAAATGCTACTCTTAATGTACATTTATCCATACAAAATTCGTCACCTAAATGAAACTCCATTTTTGCATTAAGGGCCTGTGCCAACCGGTAACTTTTTTCTCCGTGGTGAGACGGGGTGGAAAAATTTGCTATGGTGTACAAATAAATTGAATTTTGCTGTGCCAAATGCAGAGTAAAATTTTGACAGTTGAAAAACCAAACAAACGCTCGTGCGAAAGCTTTATTTTTGTGTGTTGCTGAAATTCTTAAAATTTATATTTATTTTATAATTTGCAAGTAACGTACGCTTTTTTATGCTGTTTCAGCTTTCATTTTCATGTTCACTCCTTATTACCGCCAAGCAATATTATGTGTATACATGGTAATAAGCTCAAGGGGCTAGGTAAAATTTTGACGTTCGTATTCACCACGAGAAGTGTCAAATTTTTACTTTGATCCGTTAAAATTTTCTATTTTCTATCAATTGGCACAGGGCCTAAGAATCTAAATGCTAAAACCAACCCTCTGATCTTCCAAAATTTCCAGGATTCGAACATGGTTTAAGCTGAAATTAGTCAAGAACGTAAACCTACCGGTACGTAAACCCGAGTCAGCTGACAAGATCTGTTTTACCAAAGCGGCATGTAAATGAAAACTCAATACCGCAGAATTTTTCTGTAGTTGTAGCCCGTAGCGCAGAAATCTGCGGAATTTAGATTTTTCCGTGTCAGCTGATTTCTCCTTCTTTAGATGTTGTCAGTTTTACAGATGGTAAAAAAGTTATAAGTTTCTATTCAAAATATGTTTAAAATATTTGAAATTTACTATTGAATAAGGTTTTTGTTGAAAACTAAGTAGTTTATATTTAGCTAAAATCTATTATAGCACTAAAAATTGTAGTTGAAAGGGTAAGTTTATGAAAAGGCATTGATGAGTGGCAACAGTGTAGTAAGCAACACTGAGGGCTCCAGTAATCGACAAAATTCTGCGTATACAGGCTGCGTTTAAGTATACGTTCTGCGTTCTCGACTAATTTCAGCTTTAATGAGAAATAGTGGCAACATTGCTTTCTCGCGTATACAGTGGCTAGCTGCGTTTCAGTGATCGCCGATCGAGATTTCATTTATTATATTATATTAATTGGATAAAGAAAAGGTACGCAAAATTCAACATCGATGTGATGCTGATAGAAATCTGGATCAATTTGTGATCAACTCTGTTTGTTTTGTTTCCTAATTAAGTGAGGAAAGTGCGGCCGAAGGCCGCCTACGCAGAAAGGAGTTGGACGCCTGGTTCCACTAAAGTGCACTTTTATCCAATTCAGATTTTTGTATTGAATTTTTGGTTTAAAAATGTTTTTTTCCTTTTCAGTAGGGTTTTTTGCGATACGGATCTGAATAAGTGACTGGAACACCGCTGTTTGTCAAAAGCATACGATTTCGAACTCGCGTAAATGTACATTTGCTAAATGCGATAGCATGAACGCTCTTCGAAAAAATATGTTGGAAAGTGCTTAATGTTGCATTTTAAATGCAGCAATAATGTCGCATAAAGTTGCATTTGGCATGGCCTTTACAGAGTACCAAGCTGGGTGTGAAGGCCCCTAGTGTCTTTTGGCTGTTTGAAGGAGTTGCCAGGTCTGGTAGAGAAGGCGAAAACAAAAAGGAATGTCAAATTGGGCTTTTATTTAGAATTGGCAAATAATAGTTTAACGCTAAAAGGCAAAAGAGAAATCGTATTCAACTTTTTCTTTGTCATTGGTATATGGCTGTAAAAGGAACTTTGTCATATGAAACGTTTTAAATATTCATAGAAATAATGATTACTTTCACTTTATCGTGATAAAGATAGGCGATTTTTGTATCCATATGAATACCACTCGGGAAGTTTGACCGTCATGCCGTGCACCTGACTCATAACAAAAATAAGAACTGCCAAAGATACTAACTAGCGATGGAGGTCACTTGTGACCGTGGAACCAATGATTGCAAATCAGATATGGAGCTTGGCGATCCTCCCATACAATGTTGCGAGTGGCAGGTGATTTTAAATACCCAACTTTTATTTTAAAACTTATTTACATATGTTTTCTGCATCAGGTGGAGGATGTAATAAAATGGGCTAAAGATTATGAAATGCAGCCCGCAGTTATAAACTGCTTGACCCTTGAACGCATTGATGGCAGTGATCTTTTAGAATTAAATGAAAACGATATTCGAGATTTTCGTTATCGGCTTCAATACAACCTTAGGATGAGTGATATGAAAAAACTGTGGGTAGCTGTACGGACTCTACAACAGAGTCAGTTGCATTCACCCCTCCAGCACGCTTGTACATGTACGCATATGAGCACATCCATATCAGCGGATGGATCGCCCATAAATCCTCACAAAATTCGTGTAGCTTCTGGTTGCTACAACGTAGGCGCATGTAGTTGTACACTCGCTCAAACTGGTGGTAGTGGTGGGAATTGTTATTATTCAGATGTTTGTGTACCACCGCCAACGTTAAGTGGTAGTGCGGAAGGTGATAACTTATCTCCACCGATGTCAGTTGATGGGCGCGCTACCAACATACCACCAGAGCTATTTAAAACCGCTATTAGCCTAGGTAAGTCACAACTCAATGCACATTTCAATATCCTATAACTGATTGTGGGTACAGTAAGGGGTTTCCAGCTTAAAATCTAGTCATCTAATGTTCCCGATAATTTTGTAACCGGAAAATTTTAGTACCATAAAATGTAACCAGTTCCTGTTATCGCAATGAGGTAGATGTTACGGTTAAACACAATGACTAGTTTATCGATCACATGTTATATGCATGATGTCGAAATAGTCGATAATGATGTTTAACTGGGAGGTAGTTATAAACGTTACGTAGAATTTTCTCTGGGGTTTCCTCCACCAGCCCACAAAAGACTCTGGACCATGAAAGCGCATGTAGGCTCTATGCTTAGCGAGAAACTCAGCCCTTTTGTTGCCTTCAAACCGCGTTACGCTATTAGGGGCTACCAGGTGGTTTAAAATAGGTCTAAAGCTGTCCACAAGCTATTTATTGAGTGTACGGCCTTTAACGCTACCTGACTATATGACATAATATTTATCCTGGCCACATTTGCTGTTCCACGAAGACATTCGCGAACACATATTTTGATTGCGAACACTTCCACCTGAAATAACGTTGGGTATGTGCCCATTGGCAGACTTTCCGGGAATCTCGGTCCAAGTGCGCCTGCCACAGTATTCGCGTCGTCAAACTTGATCCGTCTGAATACCATCGTTAATCATAGTTATTGTCGCTTCACCTCAGTTCCTTTCAGGAACTCTGACCTTGTAGGGTAGAAAGATAACTAGGGGTCATGCAGAATTGACTTGAGGAGAATCTGCAAATGACTCAGAAGATCTCCACAGGCCAGGGTGATCGATGAACTCTTGGAGATATATATTTTCTATTTTTCAACATAACTATTTTGGTCGTGGAACCTACCAAAATCCAATCCATCTTACCAGCCTACCAAATGGAAATAAACCTACCAGATTTGGTAGGAAAAGCCAAGGTGTGGCGACACTGGTGCATTTGCGACAGAGAAATGCCAAAACGCGAGCAAGAATAGCAAATAATGTAATAAACAAAGTGAAATCAATATTTGAAAATTTAAATGTAAACAATTCGTATATTTGTTTGCATTAACCCTCATTCGGCTTTGGTTCACGTATGGTACGATGAAGCATATAACAAAAGCTACATACATATGTATGCGTTATGGCTATGCGAATTCAAACACAACTTCTTTTATTGCAAGTTGTCATGTTGGTATAGAAAACATTCCCATACCCCTGAAAAGGGTCTTAGTTGCGTTAGCAAGAGAAGAGGAATAACTTATCTGCGTTGGGAACACCAAATGGAACTTACTTATAGTGATTTCGTTTCTTCCAAAAAATGCTGCCCTTCCACGGTGCAAAATGTATTTGGTGTTACACTCAACCCTGGTATAGGGTATCACTGCAAATTTAGTCTTTATTCACACCAGTGGCGTAGCCAGGATTTGGCTTTGGTGGGGGATGGAAAAATTTCCATCGATAACTTAAATTTGTGACACACAATGGCTAGAGGCGTCGCCTGAGTGTATTCTTTCATATATTTATGTATGTGCCAGTTTTACCGTTATATATTTTTTATCTACTCGTTTATTCCATGGGGTATTCATGCTTTATTTAAATTTAAAAATTTAAATTACTATACCGTTTTAAAAATCTGAAAATTCACTGCGGGAAATTTTTGTATTTTCTTTCTTCGCGTTCCCGTTTTTGCGTTTATAAGTTTTGAAAAAAGGTTTTGAACGAACCATTATATCACATTCCTAGGCAAGTTTTGAAAGAATATTGTCGATACTAAATTTTATTAAAACAAAATGTTGAAATCAGTGTCATCGTTAATTAAGAAAGAGATGTTCATAAATATCATAACTTTACGACACTCACATATTGACTAGATTTGGCTATTTATTTTATTATATTTTAATTTGAATTATTTGTTTATAAAAATATAGTTTATTCCTTAACAACCACTAAATGAAAATAAGTTCAATCTTTGAACAACATTAAAAAAAAAAATCGACAAACTTTCGAACTTTTTTTTCCAATTTTATCTCTTAATATTCTGCAGTTTTTTAGCTCATTCAATTTTAGTCTAATAAAGTGCAAATTTAAAGTAGCTGTGATTTACAGTTGATGTATGGCAAATTTTTGACGATGTCGGTAATTTTCTTCCATATTACCTAAGTATGTTCGACGATTTTTTTAATGAAGAAAATGAGCAACGCCTTCATCAAAAAAAAAAAAAAAAAAATTAAAAATCGACGATAAGTCGCAGCTATGTATTTTAAGCTTGCGCTTTATTTGAATTGATCGGGCTACAAAACCGCATACTCAAAATATGTATTTATAGGAAATCTAATTAAAAAGCTTTACGACAGTTTGTTGATTTTGTTAATGTTGCGCAAAGATCAAACCTTGGATTTATAAGGGTTTTGTTACAACAAATAATTAAAATTATATAATTTTAAGATAAATGGCCAATTTAGTTAACATGTAGATAGTTTTGATAAGCACTTGAAATGTCGAATTTTAGTACTGAATTCAAAGAAGATGTCTCTTTTATCCATTCATAATAACTTAAAAAAATTTGTTTGTTAAGAAGTGTATCTTAAAATATGTGCCTTGACATTTATGTTAAAAGTGTAAAATATGTAAATGTACCTACATAAACTTTCCCGTGAATATCATCAAAGCATTGATCTTGAAGGGAATCTATGTATGCATGCATGCATATGAGCAAATTAAAAAGTCGATACAATTTACAGTCGAAAAGTACAGTTTTTTTTATAGATTATAGATCATTTCCCAACACTGTGGGGAACTAAGCAATATGGCCTAGTGTATTTCGCAAATATTCAAATACATAATCCACCAACCGATAATTTTATATCTATGTATATATTAATACGCTAAATTTTGTCTCCGTTCGTTTGGCGATTCTGCCGAACCGATTTCAAAACCAAGAACACCGTTGGAAAGGCATTTTTCCGTAGATGAGCAGAGTTTTTATGGTTTCTCAATTTGTTGAAAATTACGGCCAAAACCGTCGTTTAAACATTTTCGAATTGTTTATAGATGTTGCTGCAACATGTTCAATTTGACATGTTTCGCATGTTGTTGCACTTCACATTCGAAACTAAGCTTTGAAATAAAGATAAATATGAAGATGAAGAAATGAATGAATGAAGATGAAGTCAAAAAAAAGAAGGCGAAAGGGAGGATAAAGACGAAAATGGAGACAATAACAGATACATAAGTATTAGGGTAACTGAAAGGGTAAGAACATTTCTTGAATTTATGAAGTAAACTTCTTTAGCGGCAGTTGGTTGGTTGGGAGTAAATTGTCAAATTCAAGGGGAATAATGCACATGGAAATGGTTCTCAGCGGTTTAGCGGTTTGAGAATAAAAACAAAAACAAAGATGCCTAGAGGTACAGGCAAAAACGAAGATCAAAGTAAATTTAAACACTTTAAGGTAAAGGTGAAGATGAATATGCAAAAATAAAGATAAATATGAAGAAAAGGATGAGGATGAAGATCGATATTGTTATCGATATAAAACCCGATATTTTTATCGATATAATAATGGATATTGTTATCGGTATAATAATCGATTAAATAATTGATTTTGTTATCGATTTAGTAATTTATATTGTTATCGATATGTACAATAATCGATACTGATGATCGTTATATTTATCGATGAATTAATCGTTTTTGCAATCGTTGTATTTTTCTATATGTCTATGGATATTGTTATCGGTATTTTTATCGACACAGTTATCAAAAGGGTTATCGATATAATAATCGGAACATGGAATGTGATCACATTAAATGACATCACATCACATTATATCACATGATATGAAGAGAGATCACATGATATTACATCACATAATATGATATCACATCACACGATATCACGTGACATGACAATATATGATATGACATCACATTATATGGCATGACATCACATGACTTGACATCACATGATATGACATCGTATGACATGACATCGCATTACATGACGTGGCATCACATGATATGACATCATATGATATGACATCATATGACATGACATCAGAGGATGTGACAACACATGACATGACATCCTATCCATCACATAAAATCACGTCACATCTTATCACGTCATCGCACCTCATCTCATCTACGTGAAAAGAAAAAGAAAAGGATATAAGCAAAGATGTGAAAGATGAAGACGAAGGTAAATTTACCGATTACAAAACCAAAAACACCGTTGGAAAGGTAATTTTCTGTAGATGAGAGATTTTATAGTTTCGAAATTGGTTGAAAATCGTCGTTTAAAAATTTCCATCTTTGTGAATGTTTGTTTTTGCAACCTGTTCAATTTAAGCTGTTTCTCATTTTGTTTTTGTTCGTATTTGAAATTAAACTTTGAAATGAAGATAAATATGAAGATAAAGAAACAAGTGATAACGATGAAGACAAAAAAGGCAAAAGTGAAGATAAAGATACGAAAATGGAGATAAAGACGAAAATGGAGACAATGAGAAATACATAAGAAGTAGGGTAACACAAATTTTCAGATAGGAATCGAAATAAAATCAGCTATAAAGGTTACTGAAATTTATCGAATTATTTAAACTGATCAATGTTTATTGAGTTGTCGAAATTTATAGACACAGAAACTTAGTTTGCCAAATTTACGGATAGTTATCGAGCTATAAAAACGTGTGGGATTAACGAAATTTGTCAAGTTAAAGAAATGTATCAAGTTATCGATATTTATTGAATTATCATCATTTATAGACTTAACGAAATTTATCGAGGTGTCGTAATGCATGGAGTTCTTTCAACTTACAGAGTTATGGATAATTATTGATCTACTGAAATTGGTTGGTTCAACGAATCGAAGTTTATGGAATTTTCAAAATATATCGATTTATCGAAATTTCAAGGTTATGTAAACTTATCGATTTATCACTGCTTATCGAATTTTATCGTGTTAACAGAGTGTAACGAGTTATCAAAATGTTTAGATAGTTTTTGAAAAATTTGGAGCTGTC